AGGACACTGAGGGCACTTGGTGTGTTCAGCTGGAGCAGAGGAGACTGAGGGGAGACCTCCCTGCAGTTCCAACTGCCTGGGCAGGGGCAGAGGAGGGGCAGGACTGAGCTCTGCTCTGGGGGGAGCAGGGACAGCCCCCAGGGAATGGCTGGAGCTGTGTCAGGGCAGGCTCAGGGTGGATCTCAGGGAAAGGTTCTTCTCCCCAGAGGGTGGTTGGCACTGCCCAGGCTCCCCAGGGCAGTGGGCACAGCCCCAAGGCTGCCAGAGCTGCAGGAGGGTTTGGATGATCCTCTGGAGCACAGGGGCTTGGGGCTGGGCCTGTGCAGGGCTGAGGATTGGACTGGGTCCCTTCCATCTCAGCATATTCTGTGATCCTGTAACAAGCTGGGTTGATCCCATGGCTCTGGGGCCTCAGGGGAGCTCAAGGCCTCACCATCCTTGGAGAAATACACGAGGTCTGGGGACAGGGCGAGGAGGGAGCCAGGAAAGGGTTCTATCTTGGCTGCAGTTCCTCGTGCCCGAGCTACTCTCCTGCTCCTCTCCATCTCACCATGGTCCCAAACTGGAGCTCCAGATCCTGGGAGCAGCTCCCTGCGGTTGTGCCTGGCTCTGGTTCTTTGGGAAGCGGGCACTGGGGTGTCGTCAAGGGAGCCAGAACGTCTCACTGTGACCTCAGTGTGGGGCTGCAGGGCCCCCCACACACACCTGGCACCTGCCAGGCTTCACCCTACAAGGGCAAGGAGGCTGCACTCGCCCTTTTGAGGGGCTGCCCCCCCAAATATCCCCTTCCAAAGAGTCACCACCCAGCACTGCTGGCCCTCACCTGAGAAGCCCCAGACACAGTGACTCATCCCAGGTTGCTCCAACCTGGCCTTGGACACTCCCAGGGATTCAGGAGCAGCCACAGCTTCTCTGGGAATTCCACCGCCAGCCCCTCCCCACCCTCACAGGGAGGAATTTTTTCCCAACATCCCACCTAACCAAGGACCTTTTGCAGAAACCAGAAGATGTAGAAAAGAATTAACAAAGAATTCAGTTCATGTGCCGGAAATCCCCTTCTAGGAAAAAAGATGCTAAAAATGTAGATTTAATTAGCACAGAAAGTGAGGAATTAATAGCCAATAGAAGTAAAATACTGGCTAATGAAAGAGAATGATGTAATTAAGAACCAATGAATATTAAGTTCTTTTCTTTACAAATTTTATAGATTTGGCCTGGACAAGGAATTAGGGTTGAGGGAGGACACACTTCACCCCAACCCATCTTCCATGTTTATGAGTTTATCTACAAATTTCAGCCTCCAGTGGCTCTGGGATGACACAAACACATTTACAGGGGGGAAGTGGGGAAAAAAAAAAAAAAGAAAAAAAAAATTCAACACTCAGGGTTAATTTAGCTGGAAAACATCCCAGAAATCCCCAGGTCAGTCCATTTGGCAATTCTTCTCTTTGCAGTCTCTGCCATCCTGTGGCACCAGGAGCCCCAGTCCTGCATCCAGGTGACCCTGCACAGAATTCCCAGCTCAGGAGCCCCATCCTGTCTCCAGGTGACACTGTGTGAACATTCCCAGCGCAGGAGCCCCAGTCCTGCAGTCCAGGTGACTCTGCACAGACATCTCCAGCTCAGAAGGTCTCAGAGCTGACACTTCTCCTCTCCTCCTGCAGCAGGGACCCCGCAGGGTCCCCTGGTGAGGCCACGTTCAGGTAGCCCTGCTCTGAGGGCTGGGAGGGGGACAGGCCCCGGGAGGAGTCCTGGCTTTGGGCCTCTCCCTCAGACTTCGTGTCTTGAGGGGCCTTCATGGCACCGAAGGGTTCCTGGAGATCCCGGGGTGGGAAACTGGAAAGGAATTTCCACTGTTAAGTCACCCTTCACACACCTCAGAACCTTCTCCAAGGGTCTCACACCCCTCACCCACCACCCACAACCTCCTCAAAGGATCCCACAACCTTCTCCCATCCCACAACCTCCTCCAAGGATCTCACAACCTTCTCCCATCCCACAACCTCCTCCAAGGATCTTACAACCTTCTCCTACTCCACAACCTCCTCCAAGGATCTCACAACCTTCTCCCACTCCACAACCTCCTCCAAGGATCTCACACCACCACCCCACAACCTCCTCCAAGGATTTCATGCCCCTCACCGAACCGAGAACCTTCTCCAAGGATCTCACACCCCTCACCCGCCCTCAAAACCTTCTCCAAAGCTCTCACACTCCCTCAGCCACTCCACAGCCTTCTCCTGGCTTCTCCTGCTCCCCCCAAGGTACCTGGCACGGGCAAGTGGCACCACCTTACTCTGGAGTTGGTGTTCGGAGACGTGAAGGGTCTTCGAGTCCTGGAAGGAGGAACAGAGACTTTGAAAGGACGAGGTGCAGGTCAGATCCTGAATTCCAACATATCCTGGTCTGCCAAGCCCTCCTCAGCTCCACTGAGAGTTCTCCCCATCAGCTCCAGCCCCATGGAGGTGCCAATCAGAGATCTGGCCTTTGGGTCTGAACTTAAACTAAAAAAAAACCCCCAAACCAAACCCCATCCAGCCCAGGGGAGCCCCAAACAGCCCTTTCCCTCTCATTTCCACCCAAACTGGGTTCCCTCCACATTAAAACACCCTAATAAACCTCCACCTCCACCTGGCTGGTTTGAAAGGTCTTTGATTTCCCCTTTTTATCCCTCCTTTCTCCCCCCAAAGCTCCTCCTAACACAGTCGGTCCCGTCCTCCCTCCCAGCCAAGTTGGGACGATCGCTCAGCTTGGTCTGGAGGGTTTTGGGTGACAGGAGGAACACACCCAACCCCTCTGCCTGAGGCTGATCCTCCCAATACTTGAGCCAGCTCTACAACTGAGGTCTTTGAAGAGCTCCAGGGGTGCCAAATGAGATTCCTGTTCCCATGGAAAGGGATCCCCGGGCGCAGCAGCAGCTCAGGGGCGAGCGGAGCGGGGAGCGCACGGAACCTTCGGCTGGGGCGACCTATCCCATGTCGGGGGCCCTTTCCATGCCATCCTGGTGGATCCAGCTCTTCTCCAGCCCCTCAGGGATCAGCTCCTGCTGCTCCCAGCCCTGCCAGGGTCTCACCTCTGCGGTGGGAGCGGGGCTGCTCCTGGGAATGCGTGGTGAGGCAGGCACGTGACCGGAGAGCTGGAGCTTGTTCTCCTCCTCCAGGGTCTTCCCTCTGAGCATGGGAAAAGGCACGAGTTATTTTCCTTCTGGCCACGCTCTTGTTTTCAAAGGGGAATTTCTCTTTTCCAACCCCAGACCCTCCTCCACAGTCTCCAGCTAAAGGCTGAGGATTCTGACAGGAAAACGGGCTAATTACAGCCCTAATTACAGCTAATAATAATTTTTATTATATTTATTATTTTTATTTATTTTATATTATTTATTATTTATTATTAATAAATTATTAAATGATATTCTTTTATTAATGTATTATTGTTAAATAATTATATATGTGTATAACAACATATCATTAAATAACATTTTATTAATATGTTTATTTATAATAACTTGATGATAAATATTTATCTAGTTATGTATAATAATATGTTATTATATAATAAAATATCTTTATATAAAAAGAAAGCTATAATAAAGGCTAGAATTCAAACAAACACATGTAATTTCATAAAACGTAATAAAATTAAAGAAAAAAATTTAAGAAAAGCAAATTCAGGCACAAAACCAGGGAAGAGCAAGGCTCCCAAAGGGAGGGTCCTACCTGCTGGGCAAGGGGGCAGTCACAGACCGGAGGCTCCAAAGGGGCTCCTCCTGCTCCGAAATCTTCTGGAGGAGCCGCCGCCTCTCCTGGAGCAGCTTCTCATTCTCGGCAGTGATCTGGGCAATCAGCACCTTCCCCTGAGGGGTGGTGGATGAGGAAAGAACAACCAGCACTTACACCTGGGTCTTCTCTGCCCCCTGCAAATCCCAGAGCCCTCCCAAAGGGGTCACCAGCAGGGACGGAGCTTGGAGTGCCCAGCCCTGGGAGGGCTCAAGGACCACCAAGCATGTGGCACCTGGGGACATGGGTTACTGGAATTCCATTCCCTGGCTCATGTAAAATAACCCAAATAGAGGCTTTGGGGTCACTTCCCAGCTGAAGCAAAGGAAGATGGAGCTCAGGGCAGAGTCTGGGGGGGATTGGAGGGTTTGGCTTCCCCTGAGGGCAAACCTGAGCCAGGAATTTCCTGTGGGCTTTCTGTTCTTATACACTGGGGACAGTGCTCCTGGACTCTTCCAGGAGGGGCTGGTCCCTTCCTGCAAGGAGGGACTTTGGACAAGGGTCCAGGGAATGGACAGGACAGGACACAGGGAATGGCTTCCCACTGCCAGAGGGCAGGGACAGATGGGATATTGGGAAGGAATTCCTGGCTGTGAGAGTGGGCAGGCGCTGGTACAGCTTGCCCAGAGAAGCTGTGGCTGCCCCTGGATCCCTGGGAGTGTCCAAGGCCAGGTTGGATGGGTCTTAGAGCAACCTGGGCTGGTGGAAGGTGTCCCTGCCCATGGGACTGGATGGTTTTTAACATCTCTTCCCACCCAAGCCATTCCATGACTCTTTTGGAAGCAGGGATGCTCCTGCAGCCTTCCCTTGCTGGAGAAGCCCTCGGCGTCTTCTCTTACCTTCTCCACTTGGAGCTTGGACTCGCTGAGCTCGTTTTCCAGCTGTTTGATCCTGCTGTCCCTCTGTTTCACCTCGTGGATGAAGGTCTCCTTGGCCCTGCGGATCTTGTCCTTGTGCCGGAGCTGCATCTCGTTGTATTTCCTGAGGAGGCAGAGACAACCCTCAGGCTGGGAAATGCTCCCTGGCAGGAGATGTCCTGAGTTCCCTCAGGTTGCTCAAAGCCTGAACTGGGACGCTCAGCCCTCCCCCAGCTCCCCCTGCCTGCACAGAATGGACTTTCTGGACTCTTTCCCTGATCAATTTGGGTTGTGTTTTTTTTTTTTTTTTTTTGGTTGGAAATGTTACATTTTTAATTGTCAATCAAATGGAAATTGATTAAGGGAAAAGGACCCAAAGCATTTCCAGAATAATGTCAAAAAAAGAAGAGAAATTTCTACCCATATAAGGGATAACTGGCAAAAAGAGCAGCTCCAAGGACGGTCTCTGCTGACATCAAACCCTGACCAGCAGCACTCATGGCCCTCCCAGGGCCCCCTGTGCTGCCTTCAGCTGCCAAGGAAAGGCTGAGGGAGATGGGGTTGTTAACCCAGAGAAAAGAAGGTTCCACAGAGACCTGAGAGCCCCTGCCAGGGCCTAAAGGGGCTCCAGGAGAGCTGGAGAGGGACCTGGGACAAGGGATGAAGGGACAGGACACAGGGAATGGCCTCACACTGCCAGAGGGCAGGGATAGATGGGATATTGGGAAGGAATTCCTGGCTGTGAGGGTGGGCAGGCCCTGGCACAGGTTGCCCAGAGAAGCTGTGGCTGCCCCTGGATCCCTGGAAGTGTCCAAGGCCAGGTTGGACGGGGCTTGGAGCAACCTGGGCTGGTGGAAGGTGTCCCTGCCCATGGCAGGGGGTGGGATGAGATGATCTTTGAGGTCTGTTCCCACACAGCAGCCAAATCCACTGCCAGGCATGGGAGGAGCAATTCTCGAGGAGGGTTTTGTGCCATCACCTCACATAGAGATCCTTCTGGTTCAGGAGCCGAACACCCTCCTCATAAAGGGCCTTGTTCTCCTCCTTCAGCAGGGACAGCTGCTCTGAGAGCTTCTGGTTCTCCTTTCGGCACTGCAGGTACTGCAAAACAGCTCTGCTTCACTGGGGGCGGCTGCAGGAGCCCTCTGCTCCCCTCCCCTCTGCAGCCTGGGCTGCAAAGCTTCTCTCTGCTCAATCCCAGTGGTTCCCACTACAGATCATATCCATCCATCCATCCATTCTTCCATCCATCCATCTACACATCCATCCATCCATCTACACATCCATCCATCCATTCTGCCCCCCAGGCCTCCTCCTCCTCCTAACGAGGGGCCATGGGAATTTCAGAGCAGAGGGAGGCACTGGATTCTCTCAGACAATGGACTCTGCCCAAATTTCACAAACTCCATGCTCTGCAACAAAAAGGGAAGGAAGAAACCATCAAGTCTTCCTGTGCCCTCAAAGCTTCATCCCAGGAAACCTACATGAGATGAAATCATGGAATGTTCTGAGTTGGAAGGGACCTGCAGGGATCATCCAGTCCAAATCCTGGACAAATGCCACCCTGTCCCTGAGAGATTGTCCAAACCCTCCTGGAGCTCTGGCAGCCTTGGGGCTGTGACACTGCCCTGGGGAGCCTGTTCAGTGCCAACCACCCTCCGGGGGAAGAACTTTTCCCTGAGATCCACCCTGAGCCTGCCCTGACACAGCCCCAGCCATTCCCTGGATTCTGTCCCTGCTCACTAGAGCAGAGATGGAGCTGCCCCTTGTGAGGAACCTGAACACAAAAGGAGCTGCAGCCCCTCCACCAATCCCAGCTCCACGTTTTTACTGATGGGACGTTGCTTTTCCTGCAGCTCCTCTTAAATCAGTGGGATCTGCAAGGGCTCAGCACCTCAGACCCTGTTCCAGCAGCTCCCAGGTGTACATTTACCCCCTGGAACGTTCCTGTTCCCCCCAGGACGATGAGGAGCCCCCACACAGCCCCTCCCTCACCTCTGCAGGGTCAGGTTTCCTCTCATCCTCCAGGGCGTGCAGGGTCTTGGCCTGGAGCTCCACGTGCATCCTGGCCAGCGACGCCTCCGTCTCCCGGGAATGCCGGAGCTGCTGCCGCAGATCCTCCACCTGCTGCTCCAGGAGCTTCCTGAGAACACGGGAGTGTGACAGTGAGACCCCTGAGGTGGAGGTGACACCACCACGTGCCCCCAAGGCTGGGTGTCCCCTAAAAACATCCCACTGCCCTGGGTCACAGGGATTGGAAAGAGGAATCAGCACATCCCGGTGTTCCCACTGGAATCCCGCTGAAACAGTGATCCCAGTGTTTATCTGAGTGATCTCACACATTGTGAGATCACCAAAGGACTTCTGCAAGCTGAAGAGAAGCAGCTGCTCACCCAGCAAAATTCACCCCTCCCTGAATATCCTACTGATCCTTCAGATCAGTTAAGTGGGTGCCATCCCCACCTGAGCTGGAAGAGTATAATTACTCATGAAATCTTTGAGTTTTGTGGGGGGCTTCCCAACCACCAGACCAACAGATATGGAAGCTGCAACTCCCAAGCTTCATCTCTGGATCCAGGGGGTGGTGACCATAAACAGTTTTCCACCTTTATCCTTTCTTTCTCTTCCTTGCCTTATGCATTTCCTTAAGTGTTATTTTTATGCTTTAAGGCTGCTATAGATGCTTTAATATTGCTGTATTACTATAGATAATAACATCCAAAACAGCAACACACCCGTTTACCTTTGAAACAAAATTGTTCTAAAATAAACCCTACATACCTATTTTATGTTCAAAACCACTGATTATTCAGTGTCCTTTCACTCTAATCCACCCCAAGGGGTTTATTAACCAGAACCTGGGTTACCCTCCCCTTCTGGGTCATGACACCATGTCCCAGGGACATGAAAAAGAGTGGATTATGCACTGGGATCATCATCCCAGCTCCACAGCCTGTTGGTATCTCTGTGCTGGCAGGAGAGACCAAAGACCTTCTGAGGCAGCTCAAGTCCCCAACAATCTCCTAAATCTCCAGGAGGGGATCCCTGGAGCTCCGCCAGGGATGTGGCAGATCCAAAGGGGAGGTCAAGCCAGTGGTTTGGGATTCCCTGATCCCCTCAGGAGCTGCTGTTCCCAAGAACTGGCAGGACAGCTCAAGTACCTCTTCAGCTGCCCCTCGTGGAGCTCCCGCCGCACTCGAGCTTCGTTCTCCCGGGCCTCCTTCAGCTCCTCCTCCAGCAGCTTCTTGTCAGAAACACGGGCCTCTGCCAGCAGGAGCTGGTGCTGGGAATCCTTCAGCTTCTGCTGGAGCTTTGAAATCTTGGAGGAAAACGGGCACAGATTAAATTTCTGAATGTATAAACTGGTGTCTGTACTGGGTCGCTTTGATCGCTCGGTGCCCAGGACTTGGGAATGAAAGATTTCCTTGTTTTGAGTCAAAGTCCATGGAGAGCAAAACCTCTGGAATGGCCAAGTAGATTTTGGATCTTGGATCAGACAGTGTGTCATGAATTGGCAACAATTCTTTTGGGACCCAATTAGATCCCGTAAACTTCAAAACTGGTTCCAGTGATTCCTGCAGGAGCACAGCACAACCAGTGCCAGGGGAAACACAAGGTGTTGGAAATTTCCAGCCAGCAAACAGCAGTAAATCTGCTTGGCAAGGACAGCATTGAGGCTCCCTGTGCCTGCCACTCTCAGTCCCAGCATTT